TGGATGGGTGTCAGTATTGAAATATTCTTATTTATAAAAAAAAAAAACGGAGATACTTTAAAAACTATTTAAGATTTGCACATGGGACGTATTGTATTTTCAGACTTTTCAAACATAATTGTAAGTATATAAACTTGTTAAATGCTATATATATGGTATGTGAGTAATTAAATGCTATTTGATTGAACTTCTACATGGATAAAATCGTCTTCTTGATGATATCAATGCTCTCCAGCATTTGCGCCTCACTGATCACCAGAGGCGGTGCAAAGCGAATGATATCGCCATGTGTGGGCTTGGCCAGCAAGCCGTTGTCCCTGAGCTTCAGGCAAACATCCCAGGCATCATATTCTGGGCAAGATTAAAGTTCAAGGCGAAGTAGAAAGTTAGTTGGGTGAGTACGAAATTAAAACCAGACATAACTTACTGGGATTAATCACAATGGCATTGAGCAGACCCTTGCCCCTGACTACCGTGACGACATCCTTGGGCAGCTTGGAGAGTTCGGTGCGCAGTAGTTGACCCATCTTGAAGGCATTTTCCGCCAGTTTCTCCTCCTGGAGCACCTCCAATGCTGCGATGGCCACACGGCAGCCCAGCGGGTTGCCACCATAGGTGGAGCCGTGTTCACCTGGCTTAATGCATAGCATTACTTCATCATTGGCGAGCGCGGCCGAAACGGGATATACGCCGCCCGAGAGCGCTTTGCCCAGAATAAGTATATCGGGTCGGACTTCCTCGTAATCCACAGCCAGCATGCGTCCAGTGCGCGCCAGACCCGTCTGCACCTCATCTCCTATCCAGAGCACATTGTGCTTGGTGCACAGCTCGCGCACCTTGCGCAGATAGCCCTCATCTGGGACAACTACGCCCGCCTCTCCCTGAATGGGTTCCACCATAAATGCGCACACAGTGGGATCCTGCAGAGCCTGCTCCAGAGCAGCCACATTATTATAATCGATTAGCTCAAATCCTGGCATATACGGTCCAAAGCCAGCATAGCTGCTGGGGTCATTCGAGGCGGAGATGGCGGCAAGTGTGCGGCCCCAGAAGTTGTTTCGCGCAAAGATGATCTTCGCCTTGTTCTCGGGTATCTGCTTCTTCACGTATCCCCACTTGCGTGCCAACTTGCACGCCGTCTCACAGCCCTCCACGCCGGTATTCATGGGCAGTACTTTGTCATAGCCAAAGAATTTTGTAATGAATTCCTCGTATTCGCCCAGGATGTCTGAGTAAAATGCGCTAAAGCGGCAAAGGGGATGTAGAGTATAAGATTAAATGAAAAATGGGTGGAGCTTAACATGATAATGGACAAGGCCTTAATTTAGATACATTTAAAGATACAGATACAATAACCTAAAATGATAGCTAAAGATAACATTTACAGATACATCTGTATCTGTATCTGTAACTGTATCTGTATCTGTATCTGTATCTGTATCTGTATCTGTATCTGTATCTGTATCTGTATCTGTATCTGTATCTGTATCTGTATCTGTATCTGTATCTGTATCTGTATCTGTATCTGTATCTGTATCTGTATCTGTATCTGTATCTGTATCTGTATCTGTATCTGTATCTGTATCTGTATCTGTATCTGTATCTGTATCTGTATCTGTATCTGTATCTGTATCTGTATCTGTATCTGTATCTGTATCTGTATCTGTATCTGTATCTGTATCTGTATCTGTATCTGTATCTGTATCTGTATCTGTATCTGTATCTGTATCTGTATCTGTATCTGTATCTGTATCTGTATCTGTATCTGTATCTGTATCTGTATCTGTATCTGTATCTGTATCTGTATCTGTATCTGTATCTGTATCTGTATCTGTATCTGTATCTGTATCTGTATCTGTATCTGTATCTGTATCTGTATCTGTATCTGTATCTGTATCTGTATCTGTATCTGTATCTGTATCTGTATCTGTATCTGTATCTGTATCTGTATCTGTATCTGTATCTGTATCTGTATCTGTATCTGTTTTATAACATTTTGCTATGTTGATAACCTCTCAAGATTTAGCCGTATTGACCTTCAATTAATTTTTCCCCACTACGATTGCGTTCTATAATAATCATGTTAAATATTATCAAAGTGCTTGCACTTCAATAAATTTCTGGTGAGTGATTTGATATTTTTAGCCGGTTAGAATTGGTTTTCTTCGCTCGGTCCTGGTTGTCAGGCCTGAATGGTTCATAAAGTTAAGGCACTTATTAAGTCATAAAGAGCAATCAAATTATTAATCACTTGTTGTTCTTATGCTCTAAGTATTTTTCGTTTCTGTTTTTTTTGCACCTGTTCAGGGCAAATGGTATAGTATGTAAAGAAATTTGGATTTATTTGGCAGCTTACATTTTGCGACGTTTATAAACACAATCACGGGATTAATGACATTATGTTGCGTATTTATATTCATTTAATCTACATCGACATTTATGTATATACATGTATTTTTTAAATGATAACAAGAATCTTTTTTATATTTTGCTACTCCCGTAAATTAGGGTTTTCTATGAATATGTTTTCGTTGTCACATAGCTTATCGAAAGGTTTCAATTTTTGCAAAAATTTCATCATCCAGTTCAATCAGGAAGCTAAAATCCATCTAAAAACTGTTTTTAGATTTGTTCTATTTAGTGATAACTTTTCTATATTTAGACTTCACGTCGAGACTCGTGATTAGCATGGATTACTTTATGAATGTCAAGTCATCATTTTGCATTTCTATGAAGCTTCATTAATCTTAATCTTAGACACATTGAACTTGCCTAAGAAATTTGTAGCTATGCAATGGGACTGATTATACACTTGTACAGGGTATACAAAATGTACATTTGATAACTTTTTTCGATTCCGCTCAAATGTGTTCAAAAAAGTATAACAGATCATATAACAACAGGATGCAAGAGATAAATAAACAAGAAAATCAAATAAATACTATAAGGTGGTATCCTATTTAACATCTTCTAAACGTTTATACTTCGATGATTGAATAAAAGTGGGTTAGCAACACAAATTTTCCATTAATTGGCTTTTTTACTTAGTTGATAACAACTTAGCCGCTATCAATGATAACGGCACTTTTTGTCACTGATAATTAACAAAATCCACTTGGAACTGTTTACGGGCTGTACTATGGCCAATTTTCGCACAGCAACAATAAAAACAACAATGAGACAAGTTCAATGAAATATTTAAAAATAAAGCTCATAAAAAGCTCCATTGAATTGTGCCAAATTGTCCAGATAAGCTTTAAAGAGGGGCACGTCTGACAGAAAGAATTGTTTTTTTTTTTTTTTTTTTTGTTTTTCACTTACCGTGACGTCAGCGCTAGTTTCTGTGACTGCTCCGTCAGGGCCTTGATAATCTTGGGATGACAGTGGCCCTGATTGACCGCCGAATAGGCGCTGAGATAGTCAAAGTAGCGTTTGCCCTCCACATCCCACACGTGCACGCCCTCACCACGGCTGAGCGCCACGGGCAGCGGATGATAGTTGTGTGCGCCGTATTTCTGCTCACGTGCAAACACCGCCTCCGAGCGGCTGTTCTCCGTGCCCACGGCGGCCGACTCTTTCGGCTGGGTTCGCTGCGCCACGCTAGCCAGGCGGCTGGCAATGCCGCGTGTGCTCAGTTTGGAAAACATAATTGTATGGGAAAATAATCTAGAAATCTAGCGAATCTGACACCTTTGCACTTGATCGCTGCCAGCGGCTTACTGAAAGTTCGCTCGCGGCGGCAACACGCTTTTTATACGTTTTTCTCTTCTGGCAAGTCACGCGATTCTTGATAAGCTTTCAGTGTAGCCCCCCTGCGTAGATTCAGGAGAGAGCACAAAGAGAGAGAGAGAGACAGTGGGTGATAGGGGGGGTAAAAGAGAGCGTTGGTTGTCTTGGCTTTTGCAGCTTAACCGAATTACTGTGTACTCGTCTTATCTGTTTAGCTTTCCGGCCGCACAACATATTACAATATATACACATATAGATAGTATATATGTATATGTGCATACCTATATGTACATAGATTTAAGTACGTGTATAAATAGCTCAATGGATGCTTTGGTGCTCTTGTTGTTGTTGTTGTTGTTGCTGCTGCTGTTTGTGCTGTTATTGTTATTGTGTTTTTTGTTCTACAGCAATCAGCAGAAATTTTCCATTGCTCAATTAAGCTGGAAGCTTGTGCCAAAAGCTTTTTGTTTTTATTTTACTACCCTATATAAATGGCTAAGAGGGGTATCATGAATGCATGTAACAGATGGCGGGTGCCAAATGCACCTGTCTGTTCGTCTTAACAAATGTGTCCATTGACTGATCTAGTCTTCAAAATTTGAAAATTATGCTCTTAGGCGCATTTTTCTATCAATATTTCAGTCAATTCCTTCTTATATGTTACAGCACTGTGGCGCTGGAAACAGGGTATCTATTAGTCGGGCTCTTGATTTTGCTTTCTTTGTATTTGTTTCAATTGAAATCTGCAGATGTGTGGGCGTGCTGTTGTCTTGGAAATTGTTAGTGCTTTAAAACGCAACTCGAGGCGCTGTTCAAAGTTCAGGGATATAGGGATATAGTTCTTGGAAAGCTTTTGCCAGCAGAATGCATTTCGGTCCCAAACTTATATACATAAATTTTTAGAAACATTAAGGCACGTTTCTAGCTGATAATAATTTTGAAATGGATGCTAAATTTCTGGTAAACAAAAATATGTTTTTAGATTAAGCCCTTTGTGACAAATAATTTAGAAGACGACTTAAAAAATGGTCATACGATTTTTAACAAATTTAGCAGTAGCAAATTTATAATAGATATTGCTGCAAAGAATATATCTAGATTTCTAGATGGAATTTATCAACAAGTTTTATACATTTGTGAAAAATGAATTTAATTTGTTAGTATTTAATATATTTATTTGATTTTTCATAAATATTTTACGCTTAAAATGTACAACTAATTGGCTTAGTTATGATAACTAATTTCATTTTTATTTAACAATTATAGCACATTCAAGAATTTTGAATATTTAAAACAAAGAAAATAATAATTATGCTGCTCACACAAAACAGCTAAAAGGCAACGCAAAAATTGCACTAAACATCGATGGAGGGAAATTAATTTGTTAATTTCGAGTATTAAAACAATTAAGATACGCAAATTTACACAGCAAAAATATAAATAAATAGTATTCAAAAAAGTGTTGCTCGCTTTTAGGCGACGCCGCAGAAAGGAAGAGAAAAACTGTAGCCCGCTTTTGGGCGAGCGCTTGTCATGCTCAATTTAACATGACGTTTTGCTTAACTTGTTTCATTAGCTACCACAATATTTTGAATTAATTAACTGTAATAAATTCACGCTTTGATTGCTCGTTTCGCCGTCTACTCCATGGCCGGGGTGGCAACGCTCTGCTGCGGCGACTGAGCCGGCGATGGCGAGAGGCTGCGCGGCGTTGCCGTATTCGCGTTCGCCTCCCGCTGAGCCTGCGCCTGGCTGAGCAGCTCCTTGTTGAGCCTGTAGCTGCTCATGACATTGGCGCAGCTTTGATGGAAATAGAAATTGCGACCGCGCAGAAACGCATCCGTATTGAGATCCTTTATGCCTGTCTTGAGAGAGTAGATACACAAAGGAGAGCATAGCTTAGAGCGTTGATTGGGCTGGGAGAGTGCGTCTGTGTGTGTGTGTGTGTGAGTGGGGCATGCAAAATGGTGCAAAGAAGAAGACACAGAGAGACAGAGGGCAAAAGAGAGTGGGAGAGAGACGGAAAGGGTCGGAGCGAGAGCGAGACAGAGCATAAGCACGAAAGAAAACTGAAGCAAACTGAGAAATTACCTTACAAATGAAACATTTGTTTTCATCGTCCGGTTTTAAATCCGAACTAATTCCCACCTTTGTGTCCAATTGCGTTAATCCCGGCACGCCCATAGACGATAACTGCGACAGGCTGTTCTCCATGGGCTCGCCATATTTGGTTGCATTTGTCGCATTGTTGTTGTTGTGATTGTTGTTGTTGTTGTGCGAGATATCCATGGGTCCAGGCTCGGTGCTGCTAACCTGTGGCTCGGAGCGCGGACGCTCCTCATTGGGTGAGATATTCTCCAGGCTTCTGTAAAGCGCAAGTTGCACTTTGTTGTTCTCTGATTGGAAGCTAATTAGCCAATTTCGCCTACCTGCTGCTGCCCACATTCTCCTCCAGCCGTCGCTTGAAGCTGTGCGACTTGCTCGTAATTTTCACAGTTTCATCGTCATCCACAATGACATCCTCGTCGCTATCGTTTTGACACGTTGCCGTATCCATCATTAGCTCCTTGCTGCTGCTGCTGTTGTTGTTGTTGTTGTTGTTGCTGCTGCTGCTATGTTCGGCCACGCCCACGCCGCAGGAGTCCGCGTTGTAGTAGTGATGCGTGGTAGATGACAGCTCGCTGACGTTTTTCACTGTACGGCAGGGATTTAAATCGAATTAGCCCCGGGCAGCTCGGCACGCTGATTGGCTTCAAACTCACCGCTGATATGCGCCTGGGTGCTGGGCGTTGTTGTTTCGCCCGACCAGCTGACGCTGCTGCTGCTCGCCACCGACACATTGGTGCTCACGTCCTGTTCATCTGCATGCGCATCCTTCTGGTTAATCACACAGGCCGTGCGATATAGTATGCCATCCAATTTGCCCGGCTGTGCGTTCGTGTTGTGCATGCTGGAGGGCGGCATATTGGGTGGGACTGCACCCGATACGCCCGTTGTCGTGTTCAGTTCCGAGCCAGAGTCCGGCACATCATCGTTGCAGCTTTCCACATCGACCGTTTCGATTTCATCCTGCATCTTGGGGTCCTCCTGCATGGAGATGGCAGTTGGAGTTACCTGAAGATACTTCAAAGCGAATTGACCCACCTCTGGCGGCAATTTGCCCGTTTCCAGCGCATATTTGCGCTTACATATGGGACAGCTGCTACAGTAGAGACTCTCCATCATGTACATTTCGCCGTATTTGCGTTTGCGTACCTTCAGCCTGAGCCGATTCTGGCGATTGTTGCGAATGCGCTGAAAGGTCTGAGGGGAAATTTCCTCAGTCAGAGCCGGAAAGGGAAACATTCGCATTCGATCGACTCACCTCCCAACGATTGTGGCTGGTGCGAATGGCGTTCTCCTGGGCTGGACAGGGTGGTGCAAACATGTAGGTTGCCTGCAGATTGGCGCGCTCAAATCCGGCGCTCAGCTTGTACAAACGATCCAGCTCGGTGAGGAAATGCGTGTGCCACTCCTCGGGACTCAGCTTAAGTCCACAGACGGGACAGAGATCGGGTATGGCGCCACCAGCCGCTGCCGCCTGCAAGCCGCTGACGAGGCTCAGACCACCCGGCACCGCACGCAGTCCGGCCAGACTGGCCAGCGCCGCATGATGGGCTGCATGATGGGACAGCGGATGCGGGTGTGCATGCGCCATATGGTGATGCGTAGGCGGCGGCCCACCACCCACATGATGGCCATGGTGATGCGAATGATGGTGGCCCGGCGACGACTGGTGCGCCGCCAAATGGTTGGCCATGGAGACGACAGCGCTGCTGGTCGCTGCGGCGACTGCCGCCGAGCTAATGGCCGCTGCAGCGGCCGAGCTGGTCGAGCAGGAGGACGAGGAGCTGCTGGATGCTGTCGAGGATGAGGCCACCGTATGCGCTTTGCTCACATTGTGCAGATCTGAAATTAGGCATGCCGCATTCATCAATCAAAGCGCCGCAATGCCAAGCAATAAAAATTCAAATTCCACCAGGCCCCGCGCATTGATTTCAATTTCGGGATTCCACGCAGGCAGCACGCCCCCAATCCGCACGCAGCCCAGAATTTGGGCTGGCCCATAAATTTTCCATCCATTTTCTAATTGCATGCTACACATTTTTAACACGTACTTAGCCCAAATTAATTGGCGCTCGTTATTTTTTTCTGTTGTGGGTGCCGGCTGCAGGGAAGGGGCCATGTCCTTTATGTCCTTCTGAACTGTGGAACTGTTGAGCTGCTCAGCTGTCAGATGCACGTACACGGGAAAAAAATGTGCACAACAAACCACAATAAATACAAACTGTTTGTCAGAACCGGACCCAGTCGAAAGTTCTGCACGTGACTGTGGCAGCAATTAAAATATTATTACAACAAATACGAACAAACATTCAATATTGCTGTTGCTGCTGCTGTTTGGTAAATGTTTTGGTCTAAAATACTCGCATGTGCATGGCAACATAATATGCTGAATGCCGGATGGTTAACCGCGGATAACAGTAACAGAAACAGTCAACATACGGGCCCACAAATTGGTCAAAGGATGAGCCTGGCTATTTGAGGTTGTCTACGCGAGTTGCGCATAAATTAAAATGTTATTTAAATATGATATTTGTTAAAATTATGAAAAGAGAAAATAACAAACAGAAATTAAAAAGCTAAACACTGGTTTATGGAGTCCTTTTTAGTCCAAAAATTACAATTTGGTCATTTGTCATCCATTTTCTACACATGGCGGCGGATTTTTCGTATAGAAAATCTGTTCTAATTGAATCGAATGATGTATAAAAAGTTTCCTTCAAACACGTATTTTTAAATCTAACAGTTTGTTAATACGAATTCAATATTTGCTTTTGTAAAGTTTTAAGCCTTTCTCCCAAAATATCGCCTCTCTACGCGATTTTCAAGGATTCAGTTAACTTTTAAGGCTTTCTATGTTAAGCATAGTAAGAGAATGAGTATATGAAGTGCGAACATTTAAAAAATCATATTAATGTCTAATATTTTTAAATAAATAATCAGAATTCCTAACAGTCACGTGCCAATAGCTGGTTGCCTTTATTCGGCCAAAGGGGCGGCATTCCAAATATCGTATATCGCATGAAATATGACTTTTATGGTTTGTGTGCGTGTGTGTGTGTGTGTGCTGTTTGTGTGAGTGCCATTAATATTACAGAAATTAATATAAAAATTCCAAGTGTGCAATGGATATAATACATCATCTGAACAATAATAATAAGTAATGCTCACAATAACAATACCAAACAATGCAATCAAAGCGATTTGCAACACTTGCGCATCCTTTGAAGGAAGCCAATACGACAAAAAAAAAAAACAAGCAAAGATGAACAATAAATGAGCAAGCATAAGCGAGTGTTTGTCCTCGTACAAGGGTAGTTAGGGGTAGCTTTAGATGCCTTATAATTGGCTCAAGTGCCACGCAGCTGTAGCAGAAGAGTTGCAACAAAGTCGCAGCTCGAGTAATTAGCCGCCTCGTGCCGCAAAGGATGCGTCCTGGCTGCGGTTTGACTTTGTAGTCAAGTGGCGGGCACAAAAAGTGGGTCCTGGCGGTGGGGAAGATGGGTAGTTGGGAAAAGGGGTAACGGCTTCAATAAGCCATTGCGACATTTAAAACACTTAATGCTCACCCTTGTAACCCTTCTATATAAATACTCAAGCCGAGTGTCTGCCTCCTCGACTTTTGGCGCTCAATGGCAGCCGGCGCATGTTTGGGCAGGATATCTCGTGTATTTATCTATAGTTCGCTTTGGATTATCGATGGAGGCAGCTAATTAAAAGTGTATTATTTATTTAAATTAATTTATGGGCTCAGTTTAGTCAGTTTCCGCTATAAGCCAAAAGTTAAACACACAATTATGAGCGGGGACATGGGTAGGGTAGTGTGTGCAGACAACTGGTTTGCCAGCTTAAGTAGATATGTAAATATGGAAATCAAACAGAAGAGTTGGTGCGACAGGGGCGTAGTTGAAAGGGGATTTCGTTAGAGTATACTTGGAGTACTTTTCATGGATAAAACAGTGGAAAAAAACCTTCTCAAAATATTTCTAAACTTTTTATACGCTTAATCCATTTAATTAAGGCCCTCTCCATTTGAATTCTTTTATGTTCCTTTTTTATAGCTTAAAAATATAAGTGTAAGCCATAAAATAGGTGACCTGTATAAAGATATAAATGTTTAAAATTCCATAGAGTATTTCATAAGCTTTGTTTAAAACTTGAGTTGAACACCAAATTTTTGATAAAGCAAAACTTTTGCAAGCCAGTTTTACTAGTTTTAAAGTTTTATAAAATTGAAAAGTTATTATTCGTAGTAAGTTTTTTATGAAAGAAAGAATGAGAGGATTTCGTTTATATTTCGTTAAATACCGAAAAGTTGTAGTAAAAACTTGGATATTTGATTAAAGAAAGAAAAAACTAATACAAATATTTCTGTACATAAGATCAGAAATTTTTTATAGGACTATAATAATTCATAATATTATTGTTCTGTTCTGCTTAATTATTATTTGAGTTTTTGTTTTTTTAATTGTTTGAAAAAACGAATTTTGTGATCCTCTAAAATATTAGTTTACTTTCATAAACTCTTTTATTAGTTTTTTTTTAACTTGCGAAAACTTATTCAAGTTAGTTTTTTGCATTTTAATCAAATTTGTAAAGTTGTAAAACGCTGAAAAGTTTTTTACTTGTAATTTAACTGAGCATCAATCAACTAGAAGTATTTGCAATGCATATGGATATATCTGATTAGCGCGCCCTGCCAGCAGCTGCGCCCCTGCTTCGATAAGGCATTTGTTGACACAAGCCCCGACCCCTGTCCCTGAACCCACTGCGACTCTGGCGATTTGCATTCATATTTATCATGTTCATATGCTGCCGGGTTTTTGGGCGTAAGGCGCTTAAGGCGAGCGGCTCCGGCGACACCAATTAGCAACGCATTTGTAGGCAATTTGTTTGGCCCAGTTTTGGGCAAATGGCGAGCAGCTTTAAAGGGCAGCAACCCTCAGGTAAGCGTTAGCCAAAAATTGATTTAAATGTCTGTGCCCGAAATCGGGGGAAAACTAATAAAATAAAAAGTAAAAAGTAAAATAGCTGGAGTGCCTGCCTGGGCTGTCTGTCGCTTGTCTGTCCGTCTCATCTGCTCTGCACGTCAAAGTTAACCCAGTGAAGCGTTAAAATTGCTCAGAGAAGTAAAATTGAAACAAATATGGCTAGATTTTGATCAAAAAAAGGCAAAACGTGGCCCGCCTCACTTTTGTGTTATCTCCAAACATTTTGGCAACATGCAAATTGGCAAAAATCAACAGCAGCAGTAGTAGGCGGAGGAGGAGGAGGAGGAAACCCAACTTACGTCTTAAATCCCTGGGATCCTGAGAATTATTGCTGCGCGGACTTTCACCCTTTTCAACGGCATCGTAATCCTGTGATCCCTCCATGGATTCGTGTGATGTGCACGTGGGACTGGCCGAATCCGTGCGAAATGATTCGCTGCCATTGAATAGATTCTGCAAAAATTCAATTCCACTTATGACAACTGCCAATCTACGCACGATTAGCAACGCCGCCTCCAGCCCATGTCAAAGGAGCTGAAGGAGTCCTCCGCTCGTTTACCCACCTGATCCAGGGATATGCCAATATACTTGGGTGGCGAGAAGGCCGACGGCAGCGAGAAGTTCGACAGCACCGACGGCTTCCCCAGCGGCGAGCGGTCGCTCGCAAAATAACTGCCCGGAGCTCCGGCTGCGGCGGCAGCGGCAGCTGCTCCATTCGCTGCCAGCATTCCATGGTTAAGCGTCTGCAGCAGATGCGGATGAAAGTTGTGCAGGAATTGGGTGCTATAGTTGCCGACTAGTGACATGTTGTGTAGATCTTTGGCGTCAGGTAACTGGAAGGAGCAGACCAAATATGCTGAGCAACTTCAGGAAAATCTTGGATCCTCACAATGGTAGAATGGCAGAAATCTTTTTTATTTTAGAAAACCTTTTTTTAAATTATAAATATATTTTAATATATATTTTATATATTTATAAAATATTCTCATAAGGACTTTGCTCGAGTCGATTTGATCTACAATATAAATTTACATCTCACAACAATAATAGCGCATTGTTAGTATTTTTGATGGGTATTAGGTATAACCAATCCGTCTTTAAAAAGTTGATTATATAGTTTTAATATAAACAACAGTTTTGCAATATAATATATGATATTCTTTTGCAGGGTTTAGTTATGCACTGAGTTAAGAGGGTGTTCTTCCCCCCCTGCAAAGGTCTTCGCAGCGACTTAAAATAACACTCAATTTCCCACACTTTTCCGAACAACTTTTCAGCGCATTGCAGACAAATTTGTATGTAAATTCATTTTTGGCAACATTTTGATGTGGGTGGGTTTGGGTACTTGTCACACATGTCCTCGCTTATGTTGCTGTCGAGTTGGTTACATAATAAGTGTGTGTGCGTGTGTGTGTGTGTGTCCCAGACGCTTAGCACTCATCAGGCTCAATTTGTTATAAACGGTTTCTCTGTTTATCCTTTGCTGTTTTTATCATCAGTGAACCCACCCTCAAGCCCGGAGGGTAACCCATATCAGTTGCAAAGTCTTTTGTGTGCGCGTGTGTTGGTAAATTTTCGCTCGTTATTTTACACCCCATTGGTGGCTAACACATCCCCCACTCCTCGGTTGCCCCACACTTGCCCCGCACACACATGACACAGTTTATGTGCGACAATATCGTAACTCTAAAATCTCTCAATTTTGCGCCGTTTAACATTTATTTGTCGTAAATTAAACATTTTGGCGCATATTTAAAGGCGGCTTAGTTATCGATGTGCTTCTCTTCTATGCAACATCGTCTACAGCTGCTCGTTGTATTTATTTTTAAGAAATTTTAGAACTCTTGATAGCTTGCCTTAAATTTAGATTTATTTATCAATTCTGCGGCTCGCCATATGTTGCCCTGTTGCCAAAGCCTTCATTACTTCCACCTAACATAATTGGCCAATTTTTGTGCCAAGTCATGTAGCTGGCATTAAGATTCACCTCCTCCTCAGTCAGCTGCAACAACAAATAATACGCATTTTTATGCTCATATTTTACGCTCACTTAGCTTTTCCAGAACTCACGCAAAGTTATTAGAGAAATTGAGCTTAAGACTGGCAGCTTGATGCGCCAATTTGTAGGTGTGAAAGGCAATGTAAGCAATACCAAGGAAGAATTAAAAAAAGTCAAATAAATTAAAGTAAATGAAGCCATTTTAATTGCATTTTTGATAAAGCAGGCCTTATTATGCATTTATGGAATGCTTGAATTGGTTAAATACATCTAACTCATCTTTGAGAATTTTTAAAACAAAAAAAATTAGATTAAGGCTTTTATTAATCTAGCAAGAGTGAGGTCGCCAGTTCAAACCCAGCAGCAATTTGCAATACTTATTTTACTAAAACAAGAATAAAGAATATAAGGAACAGTTTAAGGAATTTTTACTGTTTTGCCTATTTTATCAAATAAAATGCTGCCTTATCCTCTCAGTCACTTCACTCGACACGGGAGTTCTTATATTTCTATATGCTACAAATTCCACATTTAAACTAAACTCCTTCTCATTTCCTCGTTTGATTAAGAGCCAATGAATCCAATAAATTAACACTTATCAAAACGTTGACACAACAAAATTAGCACCTTAGTCCGAACAGAATGGGAAGTGGGAAGTGTTACCATATCGGCTGGCCCCCAAAATCATGATCATCATCGTCATTATCATCATCATTCTCTAATGAGGCGGGGGGTGCGCTCTAAAGCTGTTGCCAAGCGCAAACAAATGCAAGTCAGCAGCCCCCTAAAAACATGGCAAATGAGTTTGGCTTGGATATGGAGCCAGGGTAGGGTGTTGGGGGAGGGGTATGCCAACCTCATGAGTTGCATTTTGGCTAAGTCAGTTGAAGGCGGCCCCCCGCAATGAGTGGCACTGATTAAATGCCACGTGCACAGATGGTACACATCCAAAGAGAAGGCAGGGGCGGACAACAGTACGAGTGTCCTCCGTCCAAGTGGTCAACCACTCCGGACGCACTTTCCAGTTGGCCAAAGTTGGCGAGTATTTAATGCAATATGTAAACTTTGTTATAGAAAATTTTCCATTGATTTATGTGCAGCAGGTGGCACTTGCCATTTCCCTTGCCCGCAGCCGTTGTTTGCTTTTGCATTAGAGGCATTCAAATGCTGCGAGCCGTGCGATTTGTTGCCCTTGTCCGAGGGTTGCAGATTTGCATAATGCGCTGGTTCCTGTTTGTTCTTGTTTTAACACTTGAATTATTGGCATTTGACACTGAGTCCAAGATTGCTTTGTAAATTTGTAATGTTCTAATGTTGTAATGTTGTAATGCTGTAATGCGGCAGCAAGAACAACAATAATTGCTTAATTACAACAACAAGATAACAAGAGCGGCCACGGCCAATTGTCCGCATACAATTGCCAATAGCGCTTAACTTGGCCATAAAACACAGCTCAGCACAGACAAACAAACAAACTGTATAAACACAACAAATAAATCTCAATTTGTGGCAGCAACAAAACCAACGACAGCAAAAAAATGAAACCAGACAACGTTTAGCAATTGGCAATTTTCTCGAACTAACTGTTTATGGCCACAACCTGCAGCTTTCCGACTCGACAGTCGCGACTTTCCACAACACGAGCCAACTCCAGAGCACCTATTGAGACGTCTCTACTTGTTAGAACCAACATTCTCTCCTCGTTTTCGTAATTCTCTTTGCTACTGGAACAGTATATAATATATTCGAAATATATTATATTTTTAAAGATATTTATGAGATAACACATCTCACTTTTTGGGTGTACAATCAATCTTTTCCCTCTGTAATACGGCGTAAATTTCCTCCTCCAACATCGTTTCAACAGATCTCAAATCGGTTCGAATCGTATTATATATCATATTTAATTTATTTAATTAGATCTTTATATAGATCAATATTATTGTAGCTTTAAATTAATTTAAATTAGCACAAATTCTATGAAAAAGTGAAGAATAAATTTCATAAAAGTTAAAAAAAAAAAAATGGTTTCCCTTTTTTATAAATTTTTGCTGCCCATTTTATAAACAAATAATATTAATAGAGGAATTTAAGGAATATTTTTTCAGTTTCAGGATTTGTAATGCTTCCATATGAAATTATGCCAGTTGCTGGCAGAGCATTGCAATAATATGGTTTTCACTTGCTTCTCACTTTCTAGGCCTGTTACAAAGTTGCTTAAATTGTAAAATATTTGTTGTAGTTGCTGTAAGCTTTCCTAGGCTCTACACTATCAACTTTATTCGCTACTTGAAGTCACCTTTTGCACGCGCCCTCCCTAAACAGTTGTCCCTATATCATGGCCTCTTGTTATATGCCTCGTTGGCTGTGCATTTCTGGCGCAGCCCCTTGATGAATTGCTATAAATTAAATTAAGCGCACTCACACACACCAGCACATTTTCACGCACACACACTCACACACACACGCGAGTGTAATAAGTGCAAAAAATAAAGTATTACATTTCATATGTTTTGCCAGCTCTGGCTCATAACTTTCCGTGCTCGCCCTCAGGTCGGGGTTGCTTTGGGTCTGACTCTGACTCTGACTCCGACTCTGGTTCTGGTTCTGGTTCTGGGCTTGTGTCTGCCATCTTTTTGTGGGCGTCAGTCTGTGTATCTTTGTTGTTGTGGTTACAAAAATTGTTATTGTGTGTACTTTTTTTCCTGCTCGTTTTTTGCGGGTGGCTAAGTTATGGAGGTGAATTAGAACCAGATCCACATTAAACCATTTGACATTGCATTTAATATGCTCGCCTGGTGTGTTTGTATTAATTTTTATTGCCACGGCTATAAATCAGCTCCGAAAGTAACCGTTGCAATTGCATATTATATAGAAGGCTGTTGGATTTGAGGATTTGATGCATTGATTTTATAAAAGTCTTGGCTCTGATTGAAAAGTTTAAAATTATTTGTAATTCGTGTCATGCTGCTGATGCTCAATTAGATAAGTGTATCACATATCATTTCCACAAGGTAAATTTCTGATCAGAATCAACAGACAACTCAATATAGCAATATCTGTCGTGGAAAAGTCTGCGTTTGTGTTGCAGATTGTGCTTATGTCGAATCAAACCACTAGATAATTAGTTTCTTGTATGGATAACTGCTTTATTAGTAAGAAGATATTTCTGCTCCCTACATGTAAGCCAAAATCTTGTCAATATCGGACTACTTTGGGCCAATATTTTGGCAAGAAGGCTTTGAAGAAGAAAGCGACGGAGAATTCACAGGAAGCCGGATACTCAGATAAAGGAAAGCCAAATCAAATAATTATATATACGCTTCAATAAGTAATGTTAAGTATGTTAAGTTGAAAAGCTAGAATAGGACGGATTAGTTAAAAATTAAGCTCTTTCATGCAAAACCGTTCTGTTTGACATCTTGACCAAACTCTGCATTTACTAGCTTCACTTTACTGCTTACATATCTTTTAAGCTTTAAGCCATATATCCTCAAGGGTTTTGTATATTTTCTCTACATTTTCTTTTCAGTTGGATATTATACGAAATTGTAGTAATGAGAGTTATATAATATGATTTTTCCATTGCTTGGTCACATGATTTCCTTTCAAGTCTCTCTCAATTTTCCCAAGCTTTTCGCTGTTGTCTTAGAGATTTTCTTGTGGCCATCATATCACCCAACTCGCATCTACAAGCCCAGGACATATTGTTGTCATGTTTAACATATCTTAACGCTACTCAATGCTATGCAGAAGTACAATTCCAATTCCAGTGCCAATGCCAATGCCAATGCCAATGCCAGTGCCAGTGGCAGTAACCAGTTAAGTTAGTTCGCTGGCAAGTTATGCCAATTCGTGCAAGCCGCCTGCTCATCTTGAGTCCGAGTTCTTCATCATTTGTAGCATCAGCGTCAAGATCATTGCTCATGTTTACAATGATGACAGACAGCGGGGGCAATCGAAGACAGCGAGTAGCCTCCGAAACAATCATCACAGATCCACTAAAGCTGGGCAGCCGAACCTGGTAGCTATCATAAATCTGTTCATCGCAAAAATCTACACACAATGGGGCGTTTGCAAACGCATTCGTCGATCGAGGAATGCGACTCTGAAAACTGAAACTGAATCTGAATCTGAAACTGACTGACTGTCGACTTTCGATTGTCTCGAACTGCGGCGACTCTCGTAGTTGAGTACACTTCAAAAAACAAAAACAAAACAAAAATAATCTTCTGATCAGTTTTCTTTAGTATAAATTAATTTAAGTACAATTCGGTTTATTCCATGCATGTTAGTGTTTGATTGGGAATAATACAGGCATGGCAAATAAAATATATGCAGACTTTCTCTTACCAAAAACTATATATGTCATCTATCTTTATGATTAGGAAGAGAGCAGCTGATCTGATCAGATCTGAATATTGAACAATATTTATTGCACATTTTAAAAGTTCCTTAGATTGATTTGAGCTCATATTGAGCGTATTTACGGGAGACAGCTTTGCCAAGCTTTAGTAGAAACATAGTCAAATCGTATAACTTAGACTTGGATTCGAAATATATATACATTTGTATATTTCTCAGTGTATTGTTCAGTTTGGTATGGTTGTTTTACAATGCGCATTGTTTTGTGTGTGCAGTTCTCGGTGCCCGGTGTGCTGCTGATTTATGGCATCTGCGGATCAGGAGAAGTTTTTGGCTACTCCACGGCCAACAGAGCGCAGCCGCCGTTGAGTTTATGATTTGTCATAAATATGTCGCCGTGGCCGCGACGCAACGAGTAGGCGAGCGGTATATAGATCGGTGGCCGGGCTTATTGGAGCTGGTGCGGAGACTGATTGGCATTTTATTTTTTTTTTTACTTACTCTCGCTGGAAACGGACGTTGGCCACGCAGTGCCTCATGCAAACCGGAAGCGGCCTCCGATAGTACAACAAGCGCTTGTGATGGCAAATGGCTGGTAACAAATGCGTTGCTTTCCATCTGCAACTTTTGGTTCACTGTTGTTGTTGTTGTTGTGGTTGTTGTTAATTTTCTAGGGATTTGGCACAGGGCAGCATAACGCGTGCACTTTCACTTTAATTAACAATAGTAATTGTAATTGTGCAGGTAAATGCAATTACACATTAATTGGCACTGATGCAAAATGCAAGTTAATTAAATTATACACACATGTATATGTATGCGCGTGTGCACATATGCATTTCTCTGTGTGTGTGTGTGTGTGTGTGTGTGCGTGTATGTTTTAGCAAGTATTTATGCATATGTATTTGATATATTTATTGGCAACACGCACGCGACGGCAGAAAACTTTTAACGTACGCTCACAGCTCAGCTCAGCAGCTCGTTTGGTGGCACCCGCACGTACGCGCTGTAGAAGTCCAACTGGACCAACTGTTTTCGCAGCCAGTTCAGGTCTGCGCTTGGCTGTGTGCTCTGCTGCTGCAGCTGCTGCGCAGTCGCTTGCTCAGTCAACGCCTCTGCTGTGCTGCATTCTGATTGGCCACATCGGCCAACCGGTTTGACTGTTTGCGCCAGCTCCCTCTCTCTCGCTCTCTCTCTCTCTCTCTCACACAGCTGCGACGACTGCTAGTGCTATCCCCTCTCCCTTGCTGGCATTTACATTATGTTTACCTCTTTAGTGAGTTTGTTTTTGTGCATTATTATTCCAAAATGGTTGCATATCTCTTTGTTGTTGCTGTTGCTGCTGCTGTTGCCTGTTTGTCTGTTTATCTGCTGGTTATTGTACGCCTGTTTGTCTGCCAGCACCTGGGACTGGTCCCCGCACTGTTCTCCGTCCACTTCTCGCTCACCCCACTCACAGTTTGTGTAAATAAACCGTATGGGAAGCATTTTGACTTTGGATTGCCTGCTGTTGGCTGTTAGTATTTGTTGTTGTTTTTCTTGTTATTGTTATTGTTGTTGTTGTTGGCCTGGACAGTGGCTGCAAGTATCTTGAAGTCACTTTTTTTTGTAGCTGGCTGCTGGCTTTTGTATGCCGGACACTTAATATAGCACATTACTGTGGTATTTATTGGCCAAGATGATGGAAAAAGTTCTTTTAGCGATATGAAAAGCTCGATATCCATAGAATTTTGCACACTTCACTTTTAAGTTTTCAAAAGAATCATAATTTTATAATTATTAAATTGATTCGCACCAACCAATTATATATTCGCAAATGGAAAAGTCGCCAAATCCAGCATTACATATTCAAAATATATACAAAAGTAGTGAGAATTTAAATTAATGGTCTCTCTCTAAGTATCAGAAAGTTTAAAAAGCCTTTTGTAGAACTATTTAAGAGAAGAACAAATGGCATTTTAAAAAAGAATCAGACAGTTTTATTTTATATGATCAAATATTCTTCATAAATATTTGAGTGATCTTTGCCTTAGGAAATATAGGAAAATATGAAGGCCAATTCGCTGGTTCCCAAAAAATGTTTTATTAGTGATAATTATATTTTTTTTTGGACTGGTTCTTTAACAATAAAAAGTAAACAGTTCAAAAATGTTTCACAGTCATTAACAAAAAAATATGTGTGCATTATAGATTTGCCAGTGAAATAGTTTAAATTTAAACTAATTATACAAGTATTATTCTTATAACATAATTAAGGCTGAGTGTATCTCCATTTGTATTTTGGCTTCTCTTATATTTTCTATTAAATTCAAGCACACAGAGCCCAAAGCCCAAAGCCCACTGTCAACTGTGCAGTCAACCCAAATAGTTGTGCCACAGCATATTAATACGACAGCAACTACAACAATGACAACATACATACAACATGACAACAAACAGTAACTAAAAAAAAACAGCAACAACAACTATAACAGTTGGAGAACTGGCCAAGAGTGGGAGCAACAAGAAGAAGCGTAAGCTAATGAAAAAAAAAAGTTGTTAAAAAAGTTTGTTGTGATTTTGAAGGGTACCGATTTTTTATAAACATTTTTTTGTTTTTACCAACTGAATAACATATTTGCTTGCAATTTGGCCAGCACAAAAAAAAAACGTCTGAGAAAATGGGGAGTGAAAAAAAGGTAGAGGCTACAAAAAGTCTTTTGACATGTTTTATGGGTACACAAGTGGCTGTCAAACAGTTCTTCCCGTGATCCCCCCCAGCTACCGATGGCCGTGGTCATGTCTTTAATTGGTGCCTAGTAAATTTAGCTTTGACCATGTTTGGGGCCAGCTCGGACTGCGAGAGATGTGACGCGTAGTCTTGGCTAATTTTTTGCTCATTATATTTACATTTCAAGAATTCCTGCACAGCGTTGCACTTTATAATTTCCAGGCATTGCTTGGTTTATTACCAGGCCCAGTTAAGCTTAGAGAAAGAGCGAGACAGAGTGTAAAAGAATGAGGGAGAGAGGGCGAGGGAGTGAAAGAGTGGGACAGCTAGGGAGCTGCTACTTGACGCATGCGCAATTCAAGTCGACTCCGATGCGAGGTAGCCTACATTATGTGCCTAATGCCATATAGCATAGTAGATAGTAAATACATAGGGGAGGACTCCACTAGATGTGGCACTGAGCACCGAGAGGTAACCAAGTGCCGCGACTGCTGCCATGTACAGCTGCTCGCTTTTTGGACTCAACTGCATTTGGCTGGCAGTAGATTTTTCATTTTATTTATGTGCTGACTGCTGCTGTCTTCGACTTCTCCCTGTATGCCCCAAACCCACCCGCCGCTGCCCTCCACTCCGACGCGGTGATTGCTCAGCAATGTTTTTTGCTTGTATTTCTCAGTTTGTCAGCTTCTCGCTACAAAATTAAATACTTGTCTTTGTTTTTTATGGCAGCGCTCAGTATTAAATGGGAGAACGCGGGGCATGGGCGTGGCTCCCTGCTCACGTGTGTGTGTGTGAGACCGCGGGTGTGTGTGTGTGTGTGTGTGTGTGTGTATGTATGTACAAGTTGGCCATAAACCGAGTGCCATTTTGGCCTGACAGCTAATTTATGTAGTGGCTAAGAAAGCAGCTGCTGCGCTTTAGGATTTTCCACACTTCACACACTTCTTTAATAATTTTGGCAAACAATATCTATAATTTAGTTGAATTTTCTCGCATATCAGTCTGACAATAAGTCGCCAAAAATTACCTTTTAATCGCTTGAATTTGTGGATTAGAATGCTTAGAATTTTAGTAAGAAATTATAAAAATGTTGGAAAATTAATGAACACAAGATAATTGGTTAATAAATAAATAGTTTAAAGAAAATAAATAATAATGTGTTGGTGGCGTGAATATGCATTAGGACATGCAAATAAATGTTGCCGAAATATGTCAATCTATTGAAATGAAATATCTTCACCAAAAGCGAATTTGTTTAACAATAAATTGTTTTTTTTTTTGGGGATCATACCTGAGGCAACTATATAAACTTAGCAAGTAATCGATTTAAACATTATTTCAATCGATTTCTTGCTTTTAAAAAGCCAAAGTGAGAAATATAAATATTTATGTTAGATCGGTAAAATAATGTCAGAAAAACAAACGGAAAGGGAGACATGTCCTTTTGTGATTCAGCTCGTTATCAAGAAAATATGTACTGAACGGAAATATTTCAACATACAGGCTATAAGTTCATAGATTAGGTAGAACTTCGTAAAAATTGAACCCTTATTGAACGGCAATCGTTTTAATCGGACGCGGGAAATATGGCTCAATGAAATGTCCATATTAACCGAAGCACCAAATGTTGGAAAAGTAAGTACTTTCAAAACCTACAATTAAAGTTGGGAAATGATTCAACTAAAAAAAATTCACATAATACATAGATACATACGAATACAGAACCTTTGTACAATATATAAATGCTTATTGAAACAATTTGCATCAATTCAATATTCATTAAACACTTTTTGGCTTTCTTCTAAAACTCAACCTTGTCAATATAAATCAAAGAATTTGAGCTCTGATTAACTTAAGCCAAACTAAAAATATACATTTGCAGCAGTTCGTTTTTGATATTATTTGCAAGTACTGCCTTGGCTTGAAATCAGATTTATCAGACTTGAAAACTTTCTTTAATCATCCCCATTCGTTTTTTTTTCTACAGATTATGAGCGTTGTCTAACTACTACTCAATACCCACAACTGTCAGTTTCGTAATCCTCCCACTCCAACGACGGCACCTGCTCGCTGCCTTTGTCCTTTTTCCCGTGTCTCCCCAAATAACAGTCAGCCACGCCCTCAAATTAATTGAAACCGCAGCGCAAGTGCAAAGCGTTGACTGTCAGAGCCAATGCCAATGGCAAGCGGAAAGCAAACGCAGTCAAACATCTGCGACTCACATAAAAATACAAATAGAGAATAACCAAAGTCCAAAAGTATAAAAAATAAACCACAAAAAAGGACGAAGAGGGAAACCAAAGCCGAATCCTACACAAATCCCAGACAAATGTGCAGTGGTGCAAATCAACGAAGAGGAAAATTCACCGATACATTCGTGTAAATATGAATGGAAATGAATTACAAGCGAAATAAATGTACGAAAATTGCATGAAACAAAGCAAATCGTATAATAAAAATCATAGTAAAAAGCGGAAAAAGGCAACGAGCTAACATGTTTGGCGACGTGCGGGTGCGTTGCGGGGAGCGGGAGCTGAGGGGTTTGTGGTTTCTATTTTTTTTTTTATTTTTTTATTTTTTGGTTGCCAGCGCAATGTTGACATGTTCCAAATGCAATTTTAACAGGATTTGCAAGGACACATTTGCACAAAGTGACAGAAAAACGCAGGCAACAGCAACAGCGGCAACAACAGCAAAAACAAAAACAACAACAGCAAAAAAGTCAACCCCCGTAACTGGGCGCTACCCGCCGCACCCCCATCGTTCAAGCTTGTTGTGTGCGTGGCTGGCATAACTTGCGGCTTAAAGGGCTCAACTTGTCATGTCGCCTGCCGCTGATGTCCGCATTGATTTTCCACTTACGTTGACTCTCTGACACTGACGCTGACGCCGTAGCTGACTCCGGCTC